AAAAAAATCCTCAAAAGTAGGTAAAATAGAGGTTGGACGAGATTGCCATGACGGAACTGTTATGGGAGGGGTATGGAGGGGTATTCGGATGAAATTTCAGTTATTGCAGTTGCACAAAGAGCTGACCACATCAAGACAGAACTGTACAGAACTGTTTTTCGCTGTCGTTGTGGGTCATGGCAAGTTGTTTGAACTCCCTACATAGGTTCCCTTGTGATCGGTACAGCCTCTATAATGCCAGTGAAACTCGTCCGAGGATACACACTGGCCAATCTTTCAGCCTTTACTTCCCCAACTGGGCTGTTTTCCGACCTAATAGTGCTAGATATGGTATAGCGGGGGCCTCAAATTCACACTGTAGGGAACAAAAACCATTTTTATTGCGAACTGTGCCTTCAAAGGCACGGTTCACGATAAAAATGGTTTCGGAGATAAAAATGGTTTCGGAGACTGTGCATATTGCGGAGTAGTTTCAAAGTGAATGCGATGGATTGGAAGGATCAAGACTTTGGCATTGATCGATCCGCCCTTTTTGATGCGCCTGTATTCGATTTTCATTTATAGTGACGTTTAGAATGCGTTTATGGCTCACGCAATGAGTCGCAGTGACAAGCCAGTGGAAATGCCTATGCTTTAAGTCACCCAGACAAGCCTTAAACCAATTAAATAACCGACCTAGAAGAAATGGGAGGCCTGATTGGTCTGAATGGTCGATCCCGCCTGAATGTGAAGGATTCCCTCTCAGCCATTGCTCTACAAACCCTGTTAGTGAGCCAATGGATTTCAGTACTCCTCCCATCTCCGATGTGGTTAATATTCTACCACATGTCACCGAACAGTTAAAGTGAATGCTAGCGTTAGTTGAGCTGAATCTCAGAATGAAATCCCTTCCTCCAGTATTGCAGGGTATCGTGAATGGCAATTGGTCGCACAAGATTTCGGCTTGGGTGTTTTTATTGGTTGAGGTACATGCCACCGTTACTAGAGCTCCTTCTGCACAATTATAACATCCGTTACTGTTCCCGCTTTCACCTTACAAAGGTCGTCATCTACTAGAATTTCGGGTACCCATGCATCTTGAAGACTCAAAATAATTTCCGACATTACCATACTGAACAATCTCGCCGAAACATTGTTTTCCTCCTGCCGAAAGGTCAACATTGATAAGATTTTTGGTAGCTGGTTTTGCAAAGTATTGAACCATAACCCAATAGGAAAGTCTCTACACATGCAATGCGCTCTGGTCTCGGCTGGCATCCATACGCAGTCCTCAGAGACAGGACACGTAAGATTCTGGGCATTGGTGCAACCAATGTATTGAAGTGCTACTCTTGCACCACTTTTCCATATATCGGTACGTGCCGAATCGGTAATGAATTGAGTTCTGAGAATTGGTAGCGGTGGGAGAACTATCGACGATAGCGGGAACGTGAGAGTGTATCACTACTGGGGTACATTGGGTTGGAGCTATAGGGTGGTGGTTGATAAATTTTTCCTTGTTCCACCTACACGTGTTACCACCACTTCTGTCATTTCAGTCCACTTATTGCAATGAAAGACTTCATACTTTACGTCGTCTACTGGTTCCAGATATATGCGATAAAATAGACATCCAGAGCTTAGGAAGGAACAATCACACCCCGAGCCACCGCCAAATTCCACGCAAACTGTGGCCAGGAAACCGATCCCCCTCTTGTAGCTTGGGGATAAGGCTAGATGCGTTCACCGCGCCACGGTCTACGGACTGCTTGAACTCGGTCCTTTGAATTTGGCCGCGTGCGTCATTTTTCTGCCCTCGTCTGGCGCACTCTAGCCAAATCGAGTCTCTAACTGCTGTGCTTGTCTGACTGGTGAGACCCGTGCTGACTCAACGGTTCGAATGCCCTCGTCTGGCGCACTCCTGCCATATTGAGTCTATAACTGCTGCGGTTGTCACACTGTAGAGACCGTAGAACAGAAGGGAAGAAACAATGCGTAAAGAAACGAAACGTATGTTCCTGAGCGACACATTTTAATCTCCTCGTTTTCTTAATTAATCCTTTGTAGTCTTGATGACTCTCTACAAGCAAGTTGTTTTTGATGCGGGTGAAATACCAGGGAAGCAATTTTTCGTGGCTCCTATGTTGTTATCGCCCTATTGTGAGTTAATTTTAAATATATTGCTTATTCGGGTTATTTCTGATTATTTGCTCGAACAACTCATTGTTTTAGGGATACAGAGGTGAGGTTAACCTAGCTCTAAAGGGATCAGCGTTTAAGTCGTGGATTGCTTTGAAGAAAGGTCTGAAAACTGTTTTATTCGTATACAATGCAGTACTTCTGAAAGTGAGGATCATGCGGTGATTACATTGGATTCATCTTTCAGGATGAGCTTCATAATAGCTACCACTTTTGGAACAATGCATTTTGGTTACCGTATTGCTTAGTGCTGACATATTGGTAGCTCTGAAGTTAAAAATCAGCGTTCTTTCGTTCTCGACTGGTCACTCGACTGATCGCTCCACTGGTCGCTCGATCGGTCGAGGAGGCCGCGCTAGTTATGGGTGCCGCCGTGGACGGCCCCGCGCGATCAGTCGAGCGACCAGTCGAGCGACCAGTCGAGCGACCAGTCGCTAGCGACCGGTCGTGGACTATGAAAGATGCCAATATCCCGATTTGCATGCAATAGTGACACGCCTCAGAAACCTTCCAAAGAGAATAACTTCTGAAGATTGTTTGGTGAAGAAGGTAACCGATACGAAGTGGCACTGTTGTTTAGATGGTTTTGAGAAACTCTAAAGATATTTTTAGGTCTGCCAGCATAACCTGAATGAGGCGGATCTGGAAAAAGAATATCTAAGAGCTCTCAAGTTACGACAAACCAAAGTTACCCAAAAGTAGTCATTTAGCTAAGCTCTCTATGGAAACGTGCGATTCTTTTTCAAATCAGCTGTGTACTTGATGATAGAGTTGGATCGGGAAACAATTAGCAGTACCACTTGTTGCTGCGAAGGAATTCCTTGATTATCGGGTATAACGTTCTGGTATTAAATACCTAGCAAAATTAATTTAGCTAAACGTCATGGATCAATTCCCACAAATTTTCACACGTAGCAATTTCATATTCATTCATTTCATCAAACTACTTATTATCAAATCTTCTATTCCTTTCGTTCAACAATTGTGGCTCTAAAGAGGGCCATTGGGTTAGATGTTAAGATTTTAATACGACACGCATCAAGAGCTTCTTATCCTCCGAAACCATACAGAGTACGTCCCTGACATTTCAGAGCGTAGACAACGTCCATAGCGGTGACGGTCTTTCTCTTGGCATGCTCGCAGTAGGTGACAGCATCACGGATCACATTCTCAAGGAACACCTTCAGAACTCCACGAGTTTCTTCGTAGATCAGACCAGAGATACGTTTCACTCCACCACGACGAGCGAGACGACGGATAGCCGGCTTGGTGATTCCTTGGATGTTGTCACGAAGAACTTTGCGATGGCGCTTGGCACCTCCTTTGCCGAGTCCCTTGCCTCCTTTTCCACGTCCGGACACTGTGACGATCGAAAGTTTGTAACACTCACGAGTGAGATGCCATCTTGTTTGCACGCATGCTTATATAGATCTCCAGTTGGGTTACCACGTGGGGCCCCCAAAAATCATTATCACAAATGCTTCTACCACCGCGAAGGTAACAGAAATTAGAAAAGAAAAAACTATCTTTTCCCATGTACTTATACCTTATTTACAAACACACACATCAACAACAAATAATAGTATTTATTCAGAAATCCACATTTTTCTATACGTTTCGTTTCGTTCAACATTTGTGGCCCTAAAGAGGGCCGTTGGGTTAAATTGACAATGAGATTAACTCGGCGCTATATGCTCGAACTTAAGCACGTTCACTTAAGCAAGGTTTATATGTACTGTTGAAATATACAAAGCCCAATTACATTGATAATTCGAGAAGTGGACAATATTTTCGTTGAAATATTGGTCAATTTGACGGCAATGGCGGTATGTGGCGCTGGTAAAGCCTATGCGGAAACGAATAAGGATTACATGGGATACAAGTTTATTAGCTTTAAGATATTCATGAAAAGTAATGCATCGAATTTTTGGCATACAAAAAATTGTTAGTCTGTTGAGTAGAATCTCAAAATTTCCTACTATAGTTTGAAAAATGATTAATTTGGAACTCATCTATCCACTGTCACTGGCAATCCGTCCCCTCTCTCCTCTAGATTCCTCTGTTGATATTTTTTTGCTTTGAAACCCTTTCGAAAAGTACTTTCAGTATTGTCTCTTTCAAACAAATTCCTTCTAAAAACGGCCAACTAATTGAAATTCCAATGTAAAAGGGATAAGTCGGTAAATATTTGCTTCCTAGGTACCCGTATCCAGCAGAGATATCTTTTCTTCCGTAGCCGATTCCGTGGTGCTAAGCTTATTCGAGATAACCTAGAGCGAGTTTTGGTATCGTCTCTTTTTCCCACTCCTCTTCTAGATAAAATATCATGAAAACTGATAAGAAAAAAATAAAGGAATTATAAAAGTCTTCAATTAAAGGGATGCTCACTACAGCTTGCGTGGTCAAAGTGAACACCCGTCTTCACCCGGGATGAAGATCAACTCCTCAAGCTATTGATGGAATTTGCCCTTACCGAGATTCTCCTCTATTCATTGTACCCGGTCCTTCACATCAATCCATGGTAGCATGATCTGAAGAGAAACTTGTAGGAGATTGGTATCGTATTGGCAGTGTGCAAAGGAGGATAGGAGGTATTACGGTCGTCCTGGAGTGGATAACCTCTCATAGTGAGTGCCCGGCTGCATGCTACCTAAGGTACCGTAAAGAGTGAGAGTGCCAAATGGGTGTGACTTACTTACCATTGTTAATCTAACACTACCTATTACTATATCGTATTTCAACATGGCTTTTACCCCAGTTCGTGCTGTATTCCAACCTTCACAGCAACGTGGTCGGGACGTTGTAGTCTACATACTACCAAACGACCACGAGCTGTGCTATGAGACATACATACATACATACATACATACATACATACATACATACATACATACATACATACATACATACATACATACATATATAACACATACATAACATACTTATATACATACATTTAGCTGTATTTACTTTCTATAAATAACAACACTTACACCTTATTGCGCCCCAGTCAAATCAATTTGGCTGCGTAACTGACTATTGCATGTATTTGCATTCAAATAGGTACTTCTTTTTCTTATCCTATATATTAGTCTCTTCCGTTTTTTTGACGTTATGTTTTCTTTTTCCATTCTTTTCTTAACCTATCCTATCTATCTCTAATTTCACTTATTCCTCATCATAAAATTAGACTGTTACTCGTTTATTTATTTATTGTTTTATAATGCTAATTGATTCTTGTGTATACTTATCCTTTTTTCTTTCTTTACTTAGTTATTTGACTATTCTCTATAACTGATTATTTTTATAATTTCTTTTTTGTTAAGTAATATTTCTTAATACACTCTTTTATCCTAATGCATTTTATTCACACCATTAATCACTTATTTTATTGTTTTTCACCTACCCCTTGTTACCGACGAGCCTCNGCAAAGTGATTCGTCTGATTTAGAGGCGAAACGAATCACGTACATTTAATTAATAAACAATTACTCACAAGACTTTTTAATTTTTCCTTTTTATTCCATTACAAAAACCGATTTTATTATCCGACCGCATCACCGACGTCTACATTTGCTGCGAATGTCGAGGTCTGAAGGCACGTAATCCTGATGCTTATCCTTTACCATGCGCTACGTGCAAAGTCAGGAATGGGCTTTTCATAACCGATCCAGCCCATCCTGCTCGCCCACATTTCTGTGAGCCACGTAGTACTCCTCGTGCTACTGCGAGACGCATGGTACTGTAAAGATGTAATGAGATCAGGCGTACGTCCGCAGATCTCCACAGACCACCAACTGCGGAAATGAATGAGATGCTAGCAAGGCTGAGGGAACCAAGATTTGGTGAGTACCGTAGTTAATAAATTTTGTAATATAGGCACCGCTAGGATGCCCTTTGTGCCCTACGCTGCCACGCCCGGGACTAAGCTTTATTTGACCACCCAATTCAATTGATGAAGTAGGAATTCAGAGATTTTTGAAAGGGAAATCGCTGTGTTTAGACGACTTTTCGGTTCAAGAGCGGAGAGCAACGGTGGAGCAGTTCACCTTTCCCTCCGCAACCGGTCGAGAAAACTTCAGAAGGGCGATACATCGAGCTCAAAGTTTTTCCAGGAATATTAATGCGCAAATTCCTGGCCGGATTGTAGGTATTTCATATAACACTAGAGTAACTTACGCGTTGACCTTCTATTTGAGGATGCCTCTTTGTGCTCCTGTCTTGCTGATAGAGAAAATTTCCTTTTGTTGGATGACGGAGAGATGATTCTCTTAGGAATTAGGAGCCTATGGGCTGCTGTCTTCAATCAGCTCACTCTCAGAAGCGTTTTCGTGAGTGGAACACTGACATTTCTTTGGATTTTCGTGAGTGGAACACTGACATTTCTTTGGAATTTTCTTAATCTGCCGTATTCAGGGTGATGGGAGATATAAGCAGATTCCCGCAGTTGTAAGGCGTGGAGCATCGTCACAATTCTACACCATTATCGGGGAATTTGAAAACTCCTTCGCTATACCACTGCTCTACTCCTTTATACCCGATGGTACCGAGGAGACATATAGGAGGCTGTGCTCCTGGTTTTGGCGTGAAATTGGTCCCCTTGGAGGTCACCAAGCTCTGACCCACCCAAACTGCAGGGTCATCTTGGATTTCGAGAAGCCGGCTATGGATGCAGTATTAGGAGAGATGCCAGGAGTGCACTTGAAAGGGTATATTGCACAAATTTTCTCATATAAAAACACCACTGACCAAATTCTCTATTCAGGTGCTTCTTTCACTACACTCAGTGCATCCTGCGGCATCGTGATGCAGTCAGCCTGAGATCCGCGGCAAGCAAGAACAGGGTTATAGGAGTGTTTTTCCGTAGTATTCAGATGCTTCCTCTATTGCCACAACAGTTCCTAGGCATATCGGAAGCACTCCGAGCACCTGACCCACCCTTGTTTACCGTCCAGGAGCATCTTGCCATAATTGCTTTTTTGCGATATTGGCATGATACCTGGGGTCTTGGCGGTCGGTTCGACCACACCTTGTGGGATCACTCGTCGATAGTCGGCTCCCGTACCACTAATCATGCAGAGGGATTTCACACTCGAATTCGCACAGCGTTCCCCAGAGGAACGCCTACACTTGCACAATATTTGGGGTTCGTTACAGGGCAATTAACCAATGCAAAGTCTTATATTTCACCGGTGAGGGATTTGGCAGCAGCCCCTTATATTAGACCCCAAGAGCTTCAAAGGCAAACTGAGATTGCTGCCGAAATGGAGAGGTTCAGGATTGCACACGTTATTCCCAACATTGCCCTCAACACAAGACAAAGTAAAGATTATTTAGATTTCTTGGCCCAGCGATTAGCGCACTAAAATCCCAACTACGTCATTGCTGTTGTTGTTGTTGCTCAATATTTTAACTAATGTATAATAATAAAGAGATTTGCACATTCTCTATGCAAAATGCATAACCATCAGAAAAAAAAGGAGAAAAACTACGTGTGAAAGAGTTATCCCTTACTGTTGTGTCTTTTCTCGACTGTAGGCGCCTATTGGTCGAGCACTATCCACGTGAATCAGCGCTGCCATGGCGAATCTTCACGATTGCAGCTATCTCTGTGTTCTAACCAGCTGAGAGTGTGGTGGGTAGAGACGCAGCGGGGTGATGACAAGAGCACGCCTGAGTCATCGGTACCCTCCTTTCTCTGCGCTATGGCCTTTCGCGATTAGAGACGTAGAGAAAGTTCAAGTAGTCACGTAACCCCGCGCCACATTTCTCTTCCACACATGACCCCATGTGGGGGACAGCGTTTGCTGTCCACANTTCGGTACATGGTATCTCTTGTGAAAAAAATCGATTTCCTTCTCATAGTGGAGGGCTAGCCCTTTCCTTCGTAAGCGTATCTCCTGTACTGGTGTGCTCTTGTGAGAAAGACGAAGGCAGGCTTCTTGTTTGAAAGTATTGATTTTGAAAAGCCCGGAGAGTTGTATACTGCAGACCTCGTTAGTTGACCTAACGCAAATGGTGGAATAGTGGTTGAACACGTCTAACTTGGCCTTGGCATACTACCATCATTACGACTATGATCTCAGCGACAGCTCTTCTGCAAAATTGTCTGGTATAACCTCTCCTGATAGTGCGAAGGTCACAACTAGCAGGTACCATGCAACCTTTCCCAGTATTCTGATGGGTTTTCCGACCACCAGAGGCACGTGTAGGAATACGTAACATCCAGTTATAAGGAAATATAGCAGGGTCATTACTATTCCGAGTATCGCACTGACAGGCCAACACTCTGGGTTGAAGAGGTTGACAGTACAGAAAGTGCATTCAACCGCCTCGTAAAACGGTGCCGCTGGGCATCGAGTCTCAACCGTTGCGGTACCGTGATTTTGTATAAATTTCCATTGGACTGCGTAGTCATACAAACCTACATCCGGTGGAAGGGTAACGTTCTCAACAGCCTCCGGGATGCTGAACACCATACAAAACTGATTACATATTTCGTACGGGGTCTCCTCTGATTCGAGCCTGACTCCTCCCTGGAGCCATTTAACGACCCGTTTGGGATTGGAAATATTTTCTTGAGCTCCTGCGGTAAATACACACAAAAGCAGAAGTATAATCATACTCATTGAGAACATGGAGAGAGAAGAGCTTCCCTACGTAGGAAAAGTGCTTTTCGTTGCAGTTGATGTTCTTTCGTTGGCGCAAATTATAGCGTGCTTCGGGTACGCTTCGCTATTCCTCGCTTTGCTCTTCTTTTTCCTCAGTCTTGGATTTTGCATGGCTATCCCGTTTTTCTTTCGCATCATCGTCCCTGTCCTTCATCTTCGTGTGGTACTCGTATTGGTGTCATCTTCAAGTTCCAAAGGCACAAGAAGATTAATAGGTCGTCGGATCAGTCGCTGATAAGGCAGCCGCATGACTGCTTCCCGAGTTGTTCCTTGCGCGTTACTCATCAATGCTTGTATGATTCCCACTTGCCATGAGTGGCGTGGTACTGTCGTCTCACACATGAGCACCTAGGCGCATTCATGTGGCTGTTCCGCGCAACCTTTCTTGCCTACTACATCGAGCATATGTTTCTCCCGGAGGCTGGTCAAGTATTGTTGCTGCCAGACGTTCCAACTTTCCGTTATTTTGAATGATGCTTCCACCGCAGCTGTCGCTTGACTTTTTGTCTGTATTGCCCATTTTTGTTCAGGTGGTATATGGTCATCATCTCCTCGCTCCCTGGTGCCATGGGATAGGTTAGGCGGAGATCCTTCTGTAGGAAGTCAATTAGGCGTGTAATTTCTGTCCATGTCCGTGGTTTCATACTTAAACGGGCGCGTATTGAGGATCGATTCAATTTCCGTTACCACCACGGATAGTTCCTCGAACGATAGTAATGACCTACCAACGGTTTTATGGAACGAATACCTGGTGGACTTAATCATCCTTTCATAGAATAATCATTGCCGAAGAGCGTAAGCGGTGATATATTTACAGTCAATTCCCTTACTACTAACCTCTCTGCTAATCGATGGTCGTCCTGCGCCGCTTGAAGACTTTCCTTTAGCTTTTGTTCCCCTAAATAAAGGTGGGAGCATTGTCGCTGAAAATTGTCTGAGGAACCCCACTGCACCAAAAAAAATCGCTACGGCATGTGCAAAAACGCGATAGTCGACAAGTCTGACGCTACGTCAAGGTGAGTAAGCCTGGTGACTATGCATGTATTTATGACTCCATAACATTTTCCTTGACTTCCATCCTCTCGTTTCACTAACAGGGGACCGGAATAGTCTAGACCGACATGCTGGAAAAATCTTGATCGTATTACTCGCTCCATTGGTGAATCTCCTTGAGAGGGATAATTATAGGGAAGGTTGTTGAATTTCTGGCACTTCACACACTTACTAATCAACTTCTGAGCTTGTGAGCGAAGTTGCGGGATCCAGTATTGTTGCCTGATAAGACCCACGGTAGGTTTAATGCCAGTGTGTCCCTTTTGATGAACATCACGAACGTTGATGTCAGCCAAAACCGTTTTCTGCAATACAAAGACGGGATATTTCGCTTCGAGCTGTCGAGTCGAGCTGTGCTTGTCCCAAGCGTCCGTAACAGCGTAATATGCCTTCTTTGCCCTTTGTATATTCAGATCTCTAAGGGTTCTCACAATAGTACTGGCGAAATGCAGCGTTTGGTGTGCCATTATAACCACTTTGCCCGCAAATTTCCCCTCAGTTCCATATAGCGATAATGGGTAGTGTGGTCCGGATTTCGGTTATTTTCCTTTCATTGAGTTTCGCCACAGTGTTTCGCACAAACCGAGAGCGTACGCTATAAAGCGTTTTGCTCGAGTGAATGTCATGGCTTGATTGCAGGAGTTCGGGTTCCTACGCCATTTTACCTGATGTAGCCACCAACTGGTGGTATCCCCTGGGTCTTCTCCTTCGTCGTAGGTGTCGCATTCGAAGATTGTTTGTCGTGTAGGCCAAGAGGTCGTCTTTCTTGGAGCCGAATTGGCCCTTTCCACCAGTAATGTTGGCTAAATGCGGTGCTCGTCAGTCCCCGTGTCCCACAATCCGTTGGATTTTGTTCGGATGGCATGTGTCCGAATTGGACAAACTTCTTGTGTTAAGTGGGTCACGATTCTTCTTATTTCCAATAGCCGATTATAAACAAAGACTCCTACTTCTCGATTCGTGGGGCTTCTGACCCACCATAGTGCAATTTCGGAATTCGAGAAGATGTAAATCTCTTCAATATTAGGAGTCGTCTTCAGCTGGGTTGCAATTGCATTCGCTAGGCGAGCAGCCGGTGTAATAGCGTTCATCTCGAGTTTCGGCATAGTGGACGCTCCGTGGAGCGAAGGTAACTTAGATTTTGCCATCAGAAGGTGGACTTCTTCTGAATGTACGAGATAGGCACACATTCATGTAGTGCTAGCATCCCCAAAAACCACTATTTTGACTGCGGACTTCTTCAGAGCCAGAAACCTAAGGATTGATATGTGAAATCCCCTCAAATCGCTGCTTGTTTTGGTCCACTCCTCCGCTTCCTCTTTCGTCAAAAGGGCATTCCACTCGTAATGATCTTTACACAAGCTCTGCCCGAAAATTTTTGCCCGGCGAAGCGGTGGGGCATACCAACCCAACTGATCGTATATCGAGGCTATTGCACTGGTGATAATCCTCTTATTGAGGGTAGGACTTTCCTTTATTGAGCAGCGCACTTCCAACCAATCGCTCCGCGAGTTCCACTCAAGTCCGAGCACCTTTGGACAACGACTTTTTGCTCTGTCTTTCTGTGGTATCGAGTTCATAACTTCTCCCTTATTGGAGGTAAACTCCCGTGAATTCATTCTGAACTTTCCAATTATTGCCTTGGATCTGATACAAAATTGTCGCGCTTCCCCGCATGTCGCATGTATCACATTTGAAAAGAAGGTTGTCCACATAAAGATTTGTCTTAATTTCCTGCTCCAGGTCCTTGTATTTGTGCCTGTCCAAGTGCTAGTGGATGTTCCCGCCGAAATAAACGGGGAGGGCTTTAATGCGAAAGCGACCCGCGTAAAACGAAATATCTGTACGTTATCCATTGGTGGAGGTTTCTTGTGATCTCTGAGCCATAAGAAGCAAGTCACATCCCGATCCGTCTCATGAAGACGAACTTTGAGGAAAGCTCTTTCAACGTCAGATATCGAGGCTATAAGACCAAGCCGCATGCGAAGCAGGAGGCCACATAGTGCTGGCAGAATTACGGGACCTCTATGCAAGACGTCGTTAAGCGAAGGACTGCCCTTGTAATGAGGGGAAGCGTCAAAGACGATGCGGAGTCTCGTAGTCTGCTGCTTGGTGCGGGGTATAATGTACCTAAGTCCCTTCTCTTGAATCGTTATCGCCTACCAATTCCACAATGCCTTGCTTGAGCTGATCTCGAAAGACTTCATTGTACTAATCCAGCTCGTTGTTCTTCAGTGAGGTCCAAACATCAGGTAAACATTTGAAAGCCAGTGCTCGGTTGTGTGGCAAAGGTGGATGCTGCACCTTCCATGGTGAATGCACGTGATAGCCATCTTCTCGTCGTTCGATAGACCTATTGAACTGCTTCCAGACTTGTCCATCCAGCTTGGTTTGAGCTTCCTTTTCCGGTCCCCGAATTTTTCTGTTGACCGTCCATTGACCAGTATTGCTCCCACTGGTCTCTTCCTTCCTGCGTTATCTCTTTATCACTCTCACTCACTGTATAAACCCTAACGGAACTCATTGACCAATATTGATCCCATTGGTCAATTTCGTTTTCCTGATATTGTGAAACATGGAAGATTTCCCGATTATTCTCTCTTGGCTTTCCACAGATCAGGTAACCTAGTTTCGTACGTAAAATATGCAATCCTGATGGAAGTGCAAGTGGGGGTGTATCATGCCGTACGAATGACCAAAGCAAATCGCATCCTAAGAGGATAGATGACTTGATGACTCGCTCTTCTTGTATGAGATTTACTGGCTAATTTAGAGTACGAAGGAATTCCTGATCTTGATTCGAAAGCGGCAGCGGGGCGTGATAGTGGGTCAAAATATCGTATGTAAGTATTCAAGTACGTGGGGGTCCCTTCCTGGTCCCATACGTCTACACGCACTTTCTGACATTTTCGTTTGGCTACCTCAGTTGTACCAAAAGTGTTCAACTTAATGTGTTGAGATCTTTGAAAAATACAATGATTAGGGTGTATTCAAGATTAGTGCGCGCTATCTAGCTGTTGTCTACCTCTGTGCAATTGAACCCACGCGAAGCGTTCATGAACGCGAACGTATGACTGATATTCCTTTAAAAATACTACCATAAGGTAGAAGAATATTTAAAAAAAGGTAAACAACCGAAAGACCGAAAAAGAACCTTCTCTCAAGGCAGGTCAGTCCCTCTAACCCGCTGATATTCACTTTGTGGGAATCACACTGATTCCCATTCCTCAGCGAGTGGCAAAGTATGAAGGGAGACAACGGGGTATCGTAGGCTGCTATGGAAATCTGCACGTCACGGCTTCGAGAATGCTGATAGGTCGAAGTCAGGTGGGAACTGCTCGACAATTCATACACAAATAGTGAAACATTTTTCATGTCTGCTACGGGCACAGGTGACAGCATCCCATAAGCGAAACGATTTTTTGCTGTCGTGGGGTCTGACAATTATGCGTCACGAATGTATATTGATTTTCGCTGGCAATGAACTTCTTATAAAAAATTGCCGATCTACTGCTTTATGAGAAGCTTCTCTCCCATCGTATCACATCTCGATCTTTTGAAACAAAAACCTTTCTCCAAACAGCCAGAAAAATGAACTTGATCGAGTTGATTATCCGGAATGACATTTTCGAAACTTCTATACAATTGCTTTTTTCCTTCACTCTTGAAAAAATCCTGAATATTGAAAGATTGCATTGAATAAACAGCTGCTGGCAGCGTGAAGACATGAGGTGGTGGAGAGAAACCCTGTCGTGCTCATGTTCCCGCCATGACACTGCTGGTACCAATTCATATGATCTTTGGCGTGGCCACGCCTCACAGCCACATTTCCGAAGTCATGTCTGCTTTGATTGAGATTGTTTTTTGATCGAAGCATCATCCGAGGAACTGTACTGTCCAGAAAAAGGAGAAAACAGTTTTTTTCACCCATAGGTGAAGAAACATTTTGGTGATGATCCGAGAAGAAGCGATTCCAAGCTTGAGATTTCTCTTCTGAGAACAGCCTAGGACTTCTTCTTTACGAAGCTACGAGTTTGATTCCATTTGCTATAAATGTGAAAAACATCCGCCCGAACATCTTGTGGAGTAGGGCAAGCCTTCCTGGTTCAGTAGCTAATTCATGTAGCAGCAACCACTGCTCACTATCTCGTGTGATATGAAGAATCCTTCACAAATACTTTGTTTCCCCATAAATTGCAAAAATGGGATGGCTGGAAGATGCGAGTAAGTATCTGAATCATGCCGCCAACAGGTCATTTCATTCGGTGGAGCCCCACATTGAATCAACTTTCAAGGCAATGCTCGCTAAATTACCCAGATACAGAAACACAAGATACAGGAAAACTAAAAGCCTGTAAAACTTCGTTAGTACATAACTGAATGGGTCATCAAACTTTTGCAAAAAAGTTTTCCTATTAATTTACAGCAAAATCAGAAAACATCCGTAAGCAGGACGAGTAAAGTAACTCGAATCACTCGAAGGACTTGAAGAGTCGTGGCAGTACGCAGCGAAACCACAACAAATGCGCGGGAAAATGGTAATGGGCTGTGGGCCGGGAGGCGGGAGGTTTGCCGTTGGAATACTGACCGTGGCCGAGGAAGGCCGTCGTATGAGCGCCCCTGGAGTCCTGCCGCCATCGAAGAGAGGAGCTGCATACTGCCCTGGCTTTTGTCAGTTTTGGTGCTCTTTTTTGTATTGTAGCCGCCATTGTGGCAATTTTGTGAAGTGAGGTTTCTTCGCTGTAGGAAGGATCTAACTGTTTTATTTGATCTCTTTTTACCGTTTTTTTTTTNGGTACGCAAACGTAACCTTTTGGTTTTCTCTTTTTTCTTTTAAATTGCCTAACTAAAACCCTTTTGTCCTATGCTCACTATCTCTGACTTAGCTAATCTATTATATTTTGCATAGGGATAATAGTAGGAAATAGTCCGCGAGCGAACTCAGACGAAGGAGATTTTGCCTGACAGAAGTGAGAAAGGAAACAAAGGTGGAATGAAGTTGCTCCGGCACTGTCAATGGTCACGCATCGTGTCTTCGATCACTGATATAGAAACTCAGAACCAAGCAAGGATATGTAGCTTGATGCAATCCATTTTAGATTTTAGTATCAGAATACGTGTTGATTCAAGTAATTCATGAAGCTCTGATTTGCATTGAAGAAATTTCAAGATCGGGAAGTCAAACAAAGGCACAGTCTATGAGCTATGCAAGTCAAAAGAGAAAAGTTACAAGTATCTTATGATGGTTTGTTGATGTAGGACTCATGACAACCTTCAAGTTAAGGAAATTGCCCTGTGGAAAGTGAAAACTGGCATCAAGTTTTCGCAAAGGAGCAGCTGCGATTGAGGATAAAGTATTCCAAACATCTGCATCCTGATGACTATTAATGTCATTCGGATGGAACAGCCATCGAAGAATGATTCTTTTAGGTTTGTATATTAGAAGGGAAGAAATGTGAAAATGTTTTTCGCTCCACATAAATGACTTTTTAGTCATGACCTAGGTTATAACCTAACAATATACCACATTGCTTGCTTTCGTGGTTTGATCGCGAATTTCTACAAGTTGACGACGAAAGAAGATGGACGGTGACATCATAAGAATTTGCAAAGCTTCCACTTTGGTTTGGTGAATAGCTCCCTCGGGGTCCCTTCGGACGTTTTCCTCCTTGAGACACCCATAACAGCTTTGCTGTTTGTCATAGCTCATAGTTACTTCCTCCAATGTTCAATAACTAAAACATGCCGGCCTCTAGAAGTGGGCAAAAGAACTGTTTTGACCACTTCGTTTGCGTAGTTTTATATTACTATATCGCGTACTCTTTGTGTGAGAGTTGTAGCCCACGTTGCAGCTCTGCATGACCTCATGTGGATCGACGAAACTTTGTGTTTGAGCGATTTTTTGTGATGTCCGGGTTCATGGAACTCACGTTTGGTTGACATCTCCTTTTCCAATAACGGTAAGATTCATCTTAAGTACCTTGTGATAAATTACCAAGTAATGCTACGACCTGTTCCCTTCATCCACGAGGTCTCCTTTTCGAATATCAATGATTCTTCTTTTTTCACTGGCAACCTTAAAGCAATGTTTCATATAATAAATAAAGCGCAAGACTTAATCCGATGCTATGACCATCATACTCTAAAA